GCTAACTATTGCATGATATTCCTCCTTATTAAAGATAATATTAATTAATACAGCATTAAAAATAATTACAAATTAGTTTTAAAAAGAAATGCATTAAGGAAAAGCTGATAAGTGTAGAAAAATAAAAAAAATTAAAAATAAATGAATTCACATCAAGTTCTATCAATTCTAAGAATAACTCTCCTCTAAATTATTGTTGATGAAAAATAAAATCCAAAAGTTTATACTATTGACCCACTGCGATTAAATGCTTTCTCACAGTATAAGATGGCCAAATTTAAGAATCATTAACTTATCTAATAAAAAGATAGCTATAAAAAGAGAGTTAATGTATTAAAATCAGCAAAACACCAACTAATCCATCAAAGAACTTAAGGTCACAAGATATTTTCCCAGAATGTTAAACTAAGTCTTCTGAAAATGTGCTTAATCATGTGCTAAACTAGCAGTAAGAAAGCAAGAAAAAAAAATCAACTTCCACAGTTAATGATGAAATGACTATGGGGAAGAATTTTTTTTAGAGATCTCTACAATCAGCTCATGCTTTTAAAATTTTCTTTAATTTTCTTTTTCATGTTACAAACAAACCATTTCTCCCCCCAAAACAACTACTTTTTTCTCCTAGGGCAAAAAGATAAACATCATAACAATTACTTTTTAATGATACTAAATATTACACAGCTTACCTCTGGAATTCCAGAGCCACAGGCATATGGAGCAAATACTTTTACCAGGGAAACTGCAAGAAAAGCAAAACTCAAAGCCCAGAAGATATACATTATGTAGTTCATGATGTAAGAACCAGGACCCTAAAAAGCAAAGAGTTCAACAGTATGAATTTATAGTGTACCTCTAATACAACTGCTGGCCATATAAAAAATTTGGGTAAAACATGTTAAAGCTCCTGGTTTATTTCTATAATAATAAAAGCTTTACATAAACATTAATTTAACCAGAATACAAAAACTAATTCCTATACATAACAAGTGGCCTTAATCCCATTTAATCTTTTTCCTAGCTTTTTCCTGATCCCTAAAGTCTTGTGACCAAGACATTTCAGTTACGCTTTAACCTCTGCCTACCCATAAACCACTTTTTGGAAACATTTGGTGGAGACAAAATTGCATTGGCACTCAGATTTCTAGTTCTGCTGCAATTCTCCTGAACATCATCAAACTCAATTCATTAAACCAAGTGAGAAACAGCATACTGACCATCTTACCACCAAATATATTCTTTTTAGCTCTAAAGTTCAGCTACAGCAAAATTTTAAAAATATATCCATATGTGATCATGTAACTATACATAATATTCTATGTTCTAGAATTTTCTTTATTATAGAACATCAGAGTAGTAAAATAGTCATTTAAATACTATAATGCCAAAAGAAGAATCTATCGATTTTTTTCAAGAAATCTCCACTTAGAAAGCTTATTTCACTAAATTTTTTTGATAAGTCATACTTCCCAATCTTAGTGATATAATACATTAAGCAGTTTTAATAACTTGACTTTATATTAACTTTACTCAGCTCCTATTGTAATGACTGTCACTTCTTTTGTACCACAATTCACAATATTTTTGCACCATAACTCAGTGGCACTTGTATGTGACTATGTAGTTAACTAATAAAAACCTTCTTAAAACAATATTTACTCCTTTCCTTCTGCAATGTATTCTCATATTTTCTACTCTATTTTTTCTTTTTTTCCTTTAATGCCAGTTGAGCATATCTTATATGTGGTTATTCTATAATTAAATGAATTGGAGACTCATTTCACTGTATCACTTATTAATTCATCTTGAGACAAAGCAAGACTTACCTCTGCTTGACCTATGATTAATTCTGCCCATGTTTTCCACTGTGGACATTTATCCCTCTCTTCAAATGTTGCTTCATTAGATCCCCAACAACACTGTTCATGATTATACCACAATGCACTAAGACAAATGCCCTCCTTTAGGTCAGTCATCCAATCGGCAGCAATGTCTATTAACCCAGCTAACGCCCCTGTAAAAACATGTTGAAGATGGACAAAAAATAAATCCATTTTGTGGGAGTTGAGAACTATCTACTTAAGAGGTTAATGGAAAGAACAGGACTCCCTATAAATAAAAGGACATTTTAGGATTTCAAATTTGAGTTATAAACAAATTTATGTAACTTTTAATTAATTAATTAATTTATTTATTGCTTGTTTTGTTTTTGGCAGCTGGCTGATACAAGGATCTGAACCCCTGACCTCGGTGGTATAACACCGCACACTATCCAACTGAGCTAACCGGCCAGCCCTACATTACTTTTTAAAAACTGTAAACAGCTATTCTTTAAAATAAAATTGATCTTCTTTGTTTGGAATTAAAACCAGTCACATCATTCAAATTAAGTGATCCAAAAAAAAAGAAAGGTGTTTAAAAAATACTGAAACATCTTCAAAAGACAGCTATATGGCAGGAGGTTCACAAATCTCGCTATTGAAGTCAGAGATTTTACTAGCTATGCTTCAATCCAAAACTTAATTAACAGATGTATAAATGATTTCAATCTAATTAAAATATAATATCCACTAGAAATAATTAGTGAAACTCACAGCATTCGTGAGTTACTTTGACAGAGATCTGCAGTTTTTTCTTAAATAACAGAAAACTATATATATGGAGATTATTGTACTGACAGAATTTTTAAAATGTACAAATTTATGGTCAAATCTGGGCCCTTCTTATCGTATAAAAAGATCAATGGATTACATACAGAGAGGCCACAAAATTCTTGTGCACACTATTAGAGTTATTAATACTTCCCACTATCCTACACAGAAATTTTAATTTTTCATATTCTTCTGGATATAATCTTCCATGGTGGAAGCTGAAAGTGATTAAAACAGTCCTTAAAATCTCACACATAAGGACTTTGTGGCCACACTGGATAGCATGGTAATTAAAGGAGGAGGCTCTTGAGCTAGACTGCTTAAATTCAAATCCTGGCTTAGCCACTTACTAGCTATATGAGCTTAGTCAGGTTACTTAACATCTTGTGCTTCAGTCCCTTCATCTGTAAAATAACAATAGTGATAGCATTTATCCATAGGATTGTCATGAGTTTAAATACATGTAAAGTGTTTAGAACATTGCATAACACACAGGAAGCACTCAATAAATACGAGTGATTTATTAGTATGTTAACCTCAAAAAATATTTTATTGATCATCTGGTCCATTTTACAGATATGGAAACTGAGCCCAGAAAGATCAGCCAAGTTGGACAGACACTAAAAGTGACAGAGACAAGACAAGAGGTGGAAGTCTCCTGCCTCCTAGTCTTATATTTAAGATTTTTTGCAGGAGAGAAACAAATGGCTTTTAAAAATCCAATAGTACCTGAAAAAAATTGAGGGAAGGAAGGAAGAATTATTCACATAGTTCTATTAACTAAAAAAGGATTGCTTAAAATTTTTTCTTTACCTGAGGCCAATCCTGTTAGTGTTACTACTAGCCATCCTGACCACGCATCATACAAACTTTTTGTCATTTCCCATGCTGATTCTTTCTTTTTGCTGTTGATCTGAAATTAGAAATGTTTATGCTTCATTTTTCCAACTATGAATAGATGACACAATTCTACAATCAAGCAATTTTTCTCAGTAACCATACACACAACAGTACTTTCTGAACCAGATAATGGGAAGGGTGAATTTGGGGCAAAATCACTGTGTCAGTTGTTATACATCTAAACCAGAAGGCACGTATTTACCTGGAGACATGCATTTTTAATAAGAACCTCAGGATTTGAGTGCAAGATGTCTATGAACCACATGAAGTCTCACCTGTTTTAAGTTGAATCAAATTAAAACTTTAACTGGTACACATAAATATCTTTTATATTAATGAAAGTAAGACAACATGGCTTGACATGTCTATCATTACCTAGTCCTAGCAGTTAAATGTGTTATAATATTCTTTAAAAGGTAAGATCAGTGAAAAATAGTACCATGACCATAAATGCAATGTAGAATAATTATGTGGACAAAGGGATCCCCAAAGCTTGTAGGCCTGTAAATATGTAGGTATGGAGGGCTCCAATCCCATTGTTAGTGTTCAAAGGCTCTTTCATCACTGTGTAAGGCAGAAGAAAAGTGTCCTCTGCTGAACATAGCGTAGGAAGTTAGATTAACAAGAAGGTAATAGATTTGATCCAAATCTCACTCTACTAAGACACAAAAAGGCACGTCTGAGCTTTCTTAGTGAGGATGCACTTCTAAACCTATCCCTAGCTAGTCCAAATCTCTTCTGTTCTGCTAGGATTGTTGCTTTAAAAAGTCGTATTCTCAGCCTAAGACTACAGTGCTCAATTGTCCTGTATAAGGGCTACAGCTGTAATTCAATAACCTGATCTATTTCAAGCATCTGGTCTATTTGAAGCTACACGGCCCCATTAAAAAGACACAGCAAGTTTTAAATTGAATGAGGCAATTTTATTCCTTCTGTACTATCAGCAACCAAACACAGATATTAATCATTATTTAGAATTGGAGATAGGTCGTTTCTTTTTTTGTTTGTTTGTTTGCTGGCTTTGTTTTTTTTTTTTTTGGTAGCTTGCTGGTATAAGGATCAAACCCTGGACCTTGGTGTTTTCAACACCATGCTCTAACCAACTGAGCTACCCAGCCAGGCATAGGTTATTTCTTTTCAAAATAATCACTAAACTCCATGATGCTTTTCCTCAATAAAAATAACTGTGAAGTTTAATAAAATATGATAATATTAAGTCATTTTCAGATTGAGTCACTGCTGTTCTCTTTATATTACTGCTTGCACAGCACCACAGTCAGACACTTAACAAACACTGGCTTGATGGTGTATACCAGGTACAAAAAGATATATGTGCAAGTGTTCACCCATCACCATTCCTAATAAAAATTTGGAAATCATCTAAATGTTCATCAATGCAGATTGGTTAAATAAATTGTAGTACATCTATGTAACAGAAAATTTCTGTAGCAATTAAAAAAGAATGAAATACATGCAATGTTGTGTATGAAAAAAGCAAGGTGGCTAAAAGTACACTACTTCATCTAAGAAAGTTAAGAATATAAATACATATGCTTGTATTTTTTTTAAATGAAGGGATAGATCCCTGTACCAGCCAGCCTCACAAAAAAAGAAAAAGAAAGGATTAAACCATAAAATTAAAATGTAAATCATTACCTGTAAGGGTAGGGAAGCAATAGGTTGGAAGGCACAGAGATAGAAACTATATTTCTTTGAATATACCTCCTTTGTACATTTAACTTTGTAATCATGGAAATACTTTACATAATTATAAAAACAAAATCAAATCTAAAAAGTAATCCTTAAAAATTGAAGTAAAATTAGATGAATGAATCTAAAGCATGTCTAATTAGTAACATAATGACAAAAACTATTCCAAGGGACTTTAAAACAAAGGAATTTGTATGTATAGCCCTAACGGGATAAAGACTAAGGACAAAAAGTATTGCAGAAGGGAAAAAACACTAAAATTTTTTGGTAAGCATAATGTTGGTGATGGTGTCAGTACTATTATTCTGACACTGTTGTGTGTGTATATTGTGAGGTAAAGTAAGTGACTATGTTTGCAATGCTGATTTTTTTGGCATGACTTAAAGGAAATACAGATTTAAGAACTGAAGGTTAAACCCAATAATAACGAATTTAAATTAAAACTCATATAAACTTAGGAGGCTAGAAACAATGGCCAACCCAGAAGCAATAAGTACCCCTAGTACCCAGATTGTTCCTACCAACCATTTTCCTCTGATAGAATAAGAGTTCCTTGGAGAAATGGCTGATTCTGGGTTTGCTGCAGGAAATGTGTATGATGAACGAGGATTATCTTGTTTTCCCAGAATACATCAAAGTCTAAGGATTATCAAAGGACACAGATATCAATCTAAATAAGCACTCACTACTCAAAAATGAAATAACATGGACCTCAATAAGGACCTCAACTGTTATGATTAAAACACATCAAATATATTTAAATTCATGATTTCATGAAGATACAGAAACAAAAAACAAACAAGCAAACACAAATTTCATCAACTTTGAGGATACTAAGGAACCATATTATTTCAAACTTTCTCCTTTTCCTGTACAATCTATACTTCAGGGAGTCCAAATAGTTCATGAGGGATAGATTTTTCTTTACAGAAGTATTCAAGCTAATAAATAAAAAAGAAATAAAAACAGATTACTACTACTTTGTGAAATACTAAAATAATATTTGAAATGACTTAATGTCAATTACTTCAAAATAGTCTGGGGTAGGAGGGCTACAAAAATAATAAAGTTTATGAAGAAAAGAATTAGGTGGGTATATAACATGAAAAAGCCTTTTTGTTTGTTTTTTAACTTTTTTTTTTTTTTTTTTTTTTTTTTTTTTTTTTTTT